TTCTTTAAAAGGAAAGCAGGGGCACCTGGGTGGCTCAGTCAGTTATGTGGCTGCCTTGGGCCAGGTCATGATCTCAGGCTTCTGAGATTGAACCCTGTGTCAGGCTCCCTGCTCATCGGGGAGTCTGCTTCTCCCTCTGACCCTCCCCTCTCTCTTTTTCTCTCCCTCTCTCTCTCTCAGATAAATAGATAAAATCTTAAAGAAAAAAAAAAAGGTCAAATTAAAAAAAATAATAAAATGAAAGCAAGGCAGGAATTTTCCATGCATTTTTCACCCATTATGAGTAGTGGGTAGTAAAGTTCATGTGACTTTCTTACTGATGTGCACCTTTTTCTGCTGTCAGTGTTTTAATAAGAAGATCCTTTTATTGATTTTATTCCAGGCCATACATGGTCTCAGTTGCCAAAAAAGATGGTAATGGGTGAAAAGTAGAAGGCAGAAAACCACTAAGGGAAGGTTCTAAGTCAAGGAGAAAACCTGTCAAGACAGCATGAGTATACGTATTCTATGCAACCCTGCTAGTCTGTGCTTTGCTGCATGCAGATGGGTGGGAGCAACTGTGTCTGAGAGCTAGCAGTTGCCACAACTTTTTTCCCCCCAGCTTTTGTAGTTAATACCTTGTGGGAAATTGGTGGCCCAATATCTCCTTTCGTCTTTCAGTCATTTTTCTTAGTGTTTCATACTTCCTGCCATCTGTACTCAGCTTTTTCCTCTATCACCAACCCCCTAACCAAAAGTAAGTTATCTGTTAATAGATGAAGATTATTTATTTCTAGGTTGCAAAGCAAGAGCTTGGAAAAGAGGGCGTGCTCTTCAGAGAAACTGTAGATGTCACAGGCTTCAAGAGGAAGGCATCAGAGTCACAGCCAGTGGACATGTCCCACGATGAATTTTGGACTATACACCAGGGGCTGCAAGAACAACTGAGCTGGAATTCTCGTAAGGAAACTGAGCCTGTATGTGAGACAGGTAGGGCAGGACATGATAATTACTATTTCCTAGGAACTGATAGGAATTTGTGCTATCAGAATGTTGTATTTTCTATATGTTGAGCAGTGTAGATCTATAAACAGATACGTTAGCAATTATCATGGTCCCCAGGTGTCAGTAGAGTAGACCAGTTGTGGGTGAAGTTGGACATTGGCCTGTGATATAGCAGTATCTATACCACTGAGCTCTGGTAGTAAGACCATGAGCTCTTCTTTAGAAAACTGGAGATAATAGGAGCCATCTCATTCTTATAAAATACAGAAGAAATTAAGATCAGAAATGGGTTATCAGTGGCAGAATATGAACACAATTATATATCAAGAAAAAAATGATAAAAAGTCATATCTTTTATTATACACTGGATTTCCTAAGTACTTCATTTTTAAAATATGTATGAGTTTTGCCTAATTGAGAACAATTTATTTCATCAGAGGAAACTAAAAAGGATTTTTCTTTCATTAAGTCACTCCTGAAAATCGTGGAACCTATTCTAGGTGTCAGTTGATAATTTGGCTCTTATTTGTGATGAGAAGGCTACTTTAAGACACCATACATACTTGCAAATGTATCCTGTCTCTGATGAAAGAATTGGTATTGTCTGTATTTTAGAAATAGGGTCAGAATGTTCAGAGAAATGAGAGAAATTTCCTCCGGCTCTTTCCCACCCACAGCTATGCCTGTTCACCAGATCCTAGCCTTTTCTGAGAAGACAAATACCAAAGACTGGACAATGGCACCTGAGCTCCTCTTGCCTAAGTCCCAGGTGAGCTGTGCAATCCAGCTATTTAGGGCTGTCTTTTCCTGCTGCCCAGGACCCACACTGCCCAGCTCACAGGCGTCTTAGCCCCAGTGTTCTCCCCGGGGAATCCCTTGCTTTTTTCCTTTTTGCCTTCTCACTTAAAAAAAAAAAAAAAGTGGGTCGCCTAGGTGGCTCAGTTGGTTGGGCAACTGCCTTAGGCTCAGATAATGATCCCAGAGTCCTGGGATCAGGCCCTGCGTGCTTCTCCCTCTCCATCCCCACCCCCCTGCTCGTGCTCTCTTTTGCTATCTCTCTCTTTCTCTCTCTCTGTCTAATAAATAAATATTTTTAAAAATCCTTAAAAAAAAGAAAAGGTGTTATTAATTCCTGGAGTGCCCAGGGTCTACCATGGGCCAGATGGTAGGGCTGCTTCTGTAGTACAAGTACTGAGCTGAAGCCCATTGTCTTCTTTAGAGCTTGTTGACATTTGAAGAAGTGGCCATGTATTTTTCCCAGGAAGAATGGGAATTACTGGATCCCACTCAGAAGGCTCTCTACAATGATGTAATGCGGGAAAACTATGAGACTATCATCTCTCTAGGTAAAGAATCCCTCGCATTGAGTAGAAGTTGAGTAATCTGTCATATTCTCTGCTTACTGGGAATGTTTTCCTCTGAGAGGCTGTGTTCCGATAACAGGTTGCTTCTCACCTAGATGGTATGTGGACAGGAAAAGGTGTATCCAGATCACCTGGGGAGCTTTGTCCAGGTGCACATGGTCATTCCTTGTCCTAAAATTCTTGATCCCTTCCTCCCCTCCAGATCTGCTCTTTTTTTTATCTTTCCCATCCCCATACAAGGTACCATCATTTATCCAATCTGTCACACCAGAAAAATACAGTCATCCTTAGGCATAATCTTGCCATCACAACCCACTACTAATGCATCACTGTCCATTTGGCTCCACCTTCATAGTGTAGGCAGAGTGCAACCGTGTCTCATCCTTTTATTATTTTAATGTCCTGATCAAATCATGAAATTTCTGTGCTGTAAATCTTAGGATGTCTTCTCACACATTCAGAATAAAATCCATATTCCTTACTGAGTTACCCAGGAGCCTGTAAGATCTGTCTGCTACTCACCTTCCTGCCCTTGTCTTTTTCCACTGGTGTCTTTGTTCGGTCTTCTCTATCCACACTGATTTTGCTGTTGCTTGAACTCACCAAGCTAATTTCTACCTTTCCATTTCTTCAACTGGCACATTGACTCTGAGTTCAACATTTTTAAACACCCCTGATTTTTGCTGAACTCAAAACATTTTATATAATATAAGAAAAAGTAAGATTTCCTTTTACTGACTACATGAAAACTGAAGACAGTCAACTGGGGAATGATTTTGGGAGTTATTAGATACTCGATTCTTGTTTACTATGAGAAGGCCACTACTAGATATCACTTAACATTTGTAAACATGTCCCATATGTACTAAAAGAAACAGGATCTTCTATATTTTAGAAATGAGGTAAGGATGTTCATAGACTGAAGTGAGAGAAATTTTTGCTGGCTCTTTTCTACCCACAGCTGTGCCTGTTCACCAGATCCTAGCCTTTTCTGAGAAGACAAACACCAAAGACTGGACAGTGGCACCTGAGTTCGTCTTGCCTGAGTCCCAGGTGAGCTGTGCAATCCAGCTATTGAGGGCTGTCTTTCCCTGTTCCCCAGGACCCCACTGCCCAGCTCACAGGCATATTAGTCCCAGTGTTCTCCCTGGGGAACTGGGCACCTCCTAGGCTGTTGATGATCCCTTGCTTCTTTCCATTTTGCATTTAAAAAAAAAATGTGCTTTTAATTCCTTGAATGCCCAGGGTCTACCATGGGCCAGATGGTAGTGTTGCTTCTGTAGTGCGAGTACTGAGCTGAAGCCCATTGTCTTCTTTAGAGCTTGTTGACATTTGAGGAAGTGGCCATGTATTTTTCCCAGGAAGAATGGGAGTTACTGGATCCCACTCAGGAGGCCCTCTACAATGATGTAATGCGGGAAAACTGTGAGACTGTCATCTCTCTAGGTAAAGAATTTCCCTCTCCCATTGGGTGGAAGTTGAGTAATCTGTCATGTTCTCTGCTTACTGGGAATGTAGTGCTCTGAGAGGTTGTGTTCCAGTAACGGGTTGCTTCTCAACTAGATGGTGTGTGGACAGGGGAAAGGTGTATCCAGATCAACTGGGGAGCTTTGTCTAGGTGCACACTCCATATGCTATATAGATTTCTTGATTTATTTTTTTCTCCTTCCCCAAATCTGTTCTCATAGAGGCCTCTTCTCAGTAAAGAGCATTCACCCAGTAGCTAAGAGGAGGGAACGTACAGTCATCCTTTACTGTGATCTTGCTGTCCTACCCCATTGTAATGCGTCACTCTCCTTTTGGTTCCACCTTCACAGTGTAGCCTGAGTGCAGCCATGTCTCATCTCCTTGTGCTGTTAGCGTCCTGGCTTAAGCCAGCAGCATGTCTAACCAGACTGACCTCGGTACTTTCTGACTGGTGCCCCTGCCTCTTGCCCTCCCTCCCTGTTTTCCACACAGCAGCCACATGCTTTTAAAAACTGGTCAAATCGTGACATTTCCCATTTCAAACCTTATGATGACTTCTCATCACATTCAGAATAAAATCCACACCTTACTGAAGTGCTTAGGGTCTTCCAGGGTCTGACCCTACTCACCACCCTGCCCTCATCTGCTGCCACTTGTGCCCTTGCTCAGTCCTCTTGAGCCTCTCTGATGTTTCTGTTTCTTGAACTTGCCATGGTCATTTCTACTTTGCCTTTTCCTCTACCTGGCACACTTTTCTGCCACATGGCAGAACTCTCACTTTTACATTCCTGCTGCAATATCAGTTTTTCAAAGAGGCCTTCCGTACTACCTCATCTAAAATAGCTTCAGAGAAACAAAATCTTTTTTTTTTATATATAAGATTTTATTTATTTATTTGACAGAGAAACAGCGAGAGAGGGAACACAAGTAGAGGGAAAGGGAGAAGCAGGCTTCCCGCTGAGCAGGGAGCCCGATGCGGGGCTTGATCTCAGGACCCTGGGATCATGACCTGAGCCGAAGGCAGACGCTTAACGACTGAGCCACCCAGGCGCCCCCAGAGAAACAGAATCTTAAATGCTGAGTTATCCTGCCTTAGTTTTCTTCAAAATATTTATTACGTGCTGACAACTTTATTTATTGCTGTTTGGTTGTCTCGTCCCACCAGAAGGTGAGATCCCATGAGATCAGGGTGCTTTGGCTTAATCACCACTATATCATTAGCCCAAAGAGAGTTCCTGGCACATTATAGCCAGTCAGTACTTATTGTTTGAATGACTGAGTGATGCATACTTCCCCAACTTGGTGATATATATTTAGAAAAGTTTCATTAAGTAATTCTGGTCTGTTTCTTCCATCTGGACAAGAACCAGTGAACTATAGGAGTGGGAGGAATCTTTCCTAGTCCAGTGTGTGGTGCTTAAAGGCTAAGTAGAAAGTAGGAGCACCTGGGTGGCTCAGTTGGTTAAACTTTTGACTCTTGATTTCAGCTCAGGTCACAATTTTATGAGTTTTAGATCAAACCCTTTGTTGGGCTCCACACCCTAAGGGGAGTCTGCTTGAAGATTCTCTTCCTCTGCCCCTCCCCCCACTTGTGTGCTTGTACACCTGTGCTTGCACTGTCTCTCTCTAAAAATAAATAAATGTATTCTAAAAAAAAAAAAAAGCTAAGTAAAAAGTTATTGTCATCACAGGAATCACTAGTGCATATGATATGCAGCCCACTGATCTTCACCTTGCTCTGCTAGACTTGGGCTAATCCTAAGGAATTAATAGGACTAACCTGTATTCCCTGCCAACTCTGGGGTTTGGTTCAACATTGTTCAAATACAGGGTAATCTTGGTGGCAGAAGAGGGGCATTGTAGATGGATTCCCATGCCCTTTATCCTCTACATGGGTCCAGCTTAGGTTTATTTCTCC